CGAACCCCTCCTTTTTTTTTTTTTATGGGAACAAGGCTCCAATCTATTCGTGGGGAGCAGCACGTGCTAGGAACCAGGCCCAGCATCCCATATGGAAATTTACATCGAATTTTGAAAGTTTGAGATACCGGGGCCATTACCCGGCTTTGGCTAAGAAAAAATGAAGCTACTTAGGAAATTACTATGACAAACTTCAGAATTGGGCAAAATTCAGAAAAAGACTCAAAAGCCCCCTATCAATCCTCTTTACCTCACTCCGGCAAGACTTACCGCAGCAGAGCCACCATCTCCGTTGCTGCTGTACCCTATTTCCATCCTACCAGCTAGCCCCCGCACTAGTAGGACGCTTGATTATCCCACCATCTACTTCTCCCACTCACCTCTTTTTTTCACCATTCAGAAAAAGACCAGACACCCCCAATCCATCACCCTGTACCCCACTCCGACAAGACTTACTGCAGTAGAGCCACCATCTCCGCTGCTGCTGTACCCTATTCCCGTCCTACCAGCTAGCCCACTTACTAGTAGGACGCATAATATCCCACCTTCTCCTTCCTCCCACTCACCTAGGTATCTTGAGAAAACGTCTGAGCGATACGGAAAACATGGAAATAGACCACCCGGCGTCGTTCTGGCATCGAACAGCCGGAGGTCACTGAGTATAACAGCATCAAAGCCACCTAAGAAGAGTCGCTAGGAATCCCCCGTGTCCAAAAATATTCTTAAACCACCAGTACCTCTACCAGCTAAAAAAAAAAGTTGCGGCCGTTAACGCGCCGGGACTTTAGGGGGTTAGGCAAAGGCTTGGCATCCAGATGGGGGAGGGAGCTAGTGGGCCCATGGGAATTCCTCTGAAGGACTGCACGATGTCTGGCAGGTACTCTATGTGGAAACGAATGTAAGGGCAATAACGTGCAGGTCCTGGTTTCCGATTTCCTTTTTTTTTTTTTCCCCCTTTTTTTTGGAAGAAGATCCTTGGCTGCTTCTGCCCTCGCTCCCCGTCAGCCACGGGGAGCATTCACTACTGGCTGCTCTTTCCTGGCAGAGGGAGCTGCAACGTTGCAACTTTCGTGACTGAATCTGGCTTCCCTTCTGCACACTATGAACGAATGTGAGGGCAATAACGTGCAGATCCTGGTTTTTGATTTCCATTTTTTTTTTGTTTCTTTTTTTTTTGGAAGAAAATCCTTGGCTGCTTCTGCCCTCACTCCCGGTCAGCCACGGGGAGCATTCATTACTGGCTGCTCTTTCCTGGCAGAGGGAACTGTAACGTTGCAACTTTCGTGAATGAATCTGGCTTCCCTTCTTCACACTATGAACGAATGTGAGGGCAAGAACGTGCAGATCCTGGTTTCCGATTTCCTTTTTCTTTTTGTTTCCTTTTTTTTCTGGAAGAAAATCCTTGGCTGCTTCTGCCCTCACTCCCCGTCCGCCACGGGGAGCATTCAGTACTGGCTGCTCTTTCCTGGCAGAGGGAACTGTAATGTTGCAACTTTCGTGAATGAATCTGGCTTCCCTTCTGCACACTATGAACGAGTGTGAGGGCAATAACGTGCAGATCCTGGTTTCCGATTTCCTTTTTTTTTTGTTTCTTTTTTTTTTTTTTTTAAAGAAGACCCTTCACGGGTGAATTCAATACCGTAGTGGAAACAAGAAAACGACGCGCCTGTCTACGTTCCTGCTGCTGGTACCTGCTAGCAGCAGCACATGTCCCACACTTTTTCCCACTCCCCGCAGGCTCGGCAAAATCCGGCGCGCAGGGCATATTCAGGGTCGGGCCTCAACAACCGGTAGGTACTGGTGGTTTAAGACCACCAATCAGCCATCCGCGTAAAGTGGGTTTCCCGTATACGAAGTAAAGTGGGTTTCCCGTATACGAAGTAAAGTGGGTTTCCCGTATACGAAGTGAAAAAAAAAAAAGAAAAAAAGAAAAAAAAAGCAACTTTCCATTATAAAACCGGGAAACGGGCCCGACGTCCCTCACATGAATGTCGCAGCCAAACTGGGCTGGGAAAAGCACTCCCGGTCAATCCCATCCCCAACTACGATCCTCCTCAAATGAAGGCACCTTTCTCAGCCTTGTAGGGTCAACTGCAATACCCAGTCCCAGCCGGGCAACTGGTCCTGGGCCACTCTGGTAGCCTGGATCTGAACCCCACTTAAAGATGGGAATACCCGCTATACCCAGTTCCAGCACCAACTTGCACCTATACCTAGAAAACGGTCTGTGGAAATTATTTGCATGCACAGGACTGAGGTGGGCCCAGGTTGGTACCGCAAAATTGCAGTTATAACTAAGTACCGGAATGCAGAAATTATGGATTATGGGCATATCATACGCCCAGTTGGGCGATGCACATGATAAAACGAGGATCCACAATGTGATGAAAAGGACAGAATGGACAATGCAATGCTAGTGAAATCTCTACATACAAAATGGTGGTTTTATAGCGCAGTGGAAGATTTAGATACAAGTCCTGACCTGACCGGGACTGACCTCTTTCACGTAGTACAAGATAGCGAAGCAGAATGCTAGAATACTAATGACGAGCCCAATCAATGTCGCAATGCACACTAAACATACATCATTCTCACCACAAGGTGTGAAGGGGCCTGGCGCTATACACAAGAAGAAGGCGCCAGGTCCAGACATGCACAGACGAAGAGGAGGGGATCAGACGAAGAGGAGGGGGAGATGGGAAAGTCGTCAACACCAAGTCTCGTTACAAGTCCCAAATAATCCCTCGTCAAAATGTCTGAAGCCCATGTCGAGTCTGGATCCACATGTCACCAAGCTCTCTCTCTCGTAGGCTGCTGATGCAGTGAAGTCAGGTAGCGAGAGGGTGAGAGGGAGATGGTGGACCGAGATGAGGAAGAAGAAGAACTCTCTCTCTCTCTTTCACGTGCCAGGTACTAACCTGTGAAGATGGCTTTGTGCTGCAGGTACCTCGAAGACTAAGCTGGAGCAACGACACTGCTGGTAAGTCTCTCTGGCCTCCGCCCAATCTCTCTCTTTCTCTTTAGTACTGCTCTAGCTCCTATGGCGCCCAGCGCTGAAGACTACTGCTAATGCTACTAGCGCCCAACGCTGAAGACTACTGCTAGCGCCACAACTAGTGCAGCGCTCCTCCAGAGTGCTGCTGCCGAATCCTGAAGTACCTAGGAACTACCTGCAGCCTGCAGGGCGGGCCAATCTTATATAGTGCTGGCCCGTCCAGGAGGCTGCTCTTGCCAATGCCAAAACGTGCCAGACCCTGGGGTTGAAGCTCAAATGAAGGTTGTCTTGGAAATAGGCCAAAAATGGCCTGAGCTAAAACCCTGGTCTGGTGCCTGAGTTTCAGGGCATGACGATCTTACGAGGGCCTGAAAATGGCCCTCAGTTTCAGGCTGAAACGACACAGGGCTTGTAGGCCCTTGTTTTCAGGCTTTCAGGCTGAAACGACACAGGGCCTGTAGGCCCTTGTTTTCAGGTTTTTGGGCCGAAAACGACATGGGCCTGAAAATGGCCCGTGCAGCCTGTTGCAGGCGCAACATGTAACATCCCCCCCTCCTTATGAAGTCAAGCTAGGTCGAGGGTGAAGCTGACGATCTGAAGGTGGAACCTGGCCGCGGGTGCGACGTGGAGCCGAAGATACCAAATTGCCTTGCATCTTGCGTTCGTAGCGTGCGAGAACTTCTGGAGCTGTTGCTTGGAGTTTCGCACGGGTCAACCAACGGTCAACTTTGTGGGTACAGTACGCAAAGTGTACCACATACTCGGTTGGCCTGTTGCCGTAGTGTCGCTGGGAGATGATGTCGCCAACCTCTTGAAAACCGTCCATCGAGGGTGGGTTTTGGGATCGTCGCCCGAGGAAGTCGTCATGTTCCACTGGCGTGTAAAGAGCCAACTTTGAGCAATGAAAAACCGGGGAGACGAGCAAGTGGGCGGGCACCTGAATGGTTAAAGAAGGTCCTTCGAGTGCATTCCCAGCGGGTGCCACAATCGGCCAAGGCCCCATCCATTTCGAGAGGAGTTTGCGAGAGATATCTTGTTCGAGGCTGAATTCCGCGACGGAAACCCAGACAAGGTCATCGGCGCGGAATGGACAGGGAAGACGCTGACGATTGGCTTGTTGGCTCATGTGTTGCTGCATCTTTGCCATCTGGTCCCGTACCTTGACAAGGAGCTCTTGCATCCGACGAATGAAGAGAAGATGGTCATCGCTCTCGGTCGCCCGTGGAATGATTGTTTTTGACGGAGAAGTGACCGCCGAGCCGTGCTCTAACTCGAAGGGCGACTTCTTGATGGCTGGGTGGATTGACGAGTTGTATGCCAACTCGACATCTGTGTATGCCAACTCGACATCTGGCAGCCGCTCAACCCAATCCTTTTGGTTGGGACGGATGAGAGTGCGAAGGAGAACCTTTGCGGTCTGATGCCCCCTTTCCGTTTGGCCATCGGTTTGGGGGTGGCAAGCCGAACTTGGCTTGAGAGATGAGCCCCATCGTTTGATGAGCGCCAACCAAAAATCAGACATGAACCAAGTGTCGCGGTCGCAGACGAGTTCCTTGGGGTAACCGTTGGTTCGAATCCAACCGGCGTAAAGAACCGTGACCAACTCCGGTGCCTTGGCATGATAGCGGCAAGGCAAAAACATGGCGAACTTGGTGAGTCAGTCGACCACCGTAAGAATCTCATCCACACCAGTCTTGTGCTTGGGGAACGACCCTGTAATGTCCATGGCAATCGCTTCCCTTCGGCGCAAGGGGACTGGTAATGGTCGCAACTCGCCGTACGGACGATGATTGTGGGATTTGCAACGTCGACAAACCTTGCATGACTCGCAATAGCATGTGACGTCGTCGAGACGACCGGGCCACCAAAAGCGCTCGCGCAGTCGGCCAATCGTACGATTGACTCCGAAGTGTCCGGTGGCGGGAGCGTCGTGGTACTCACCAAGAAGCCGTGTGCACAAGTGTGAATCTCGTGGCACACAAAGAAGATCCTTCCCTCGCGAGTGGACGAGCAAGTACCCCTCTTGGATCCGAGAGTGCGATGGTGCGGGATTGGGAGAGGAGCAATTTGCGTACTTGTCGCAAAACTCGCGGTCGACTCGGTAACCGCAGATGAAGTTGTCCCGCAAGTCTTCGTGAATCTCAAAAGTTGAGTAGACTGCGGTACAATAGTCCAGACGTCGTGAAAGAGCATCCACAAAACGGTTTGACTTGCCCGGAATGTGGTCGGGGAAAAAGTCAAACTGGTTGATGAAGGTCATCCAACGGGCAATGGTGCTATTGACCGTGTCTTGGGTCTTGTAGAAGACCAATGAATTGTTATCCGTTACCCATCGGAACTGCCGTCCACGGAGAAGAAAATGACGCCAGCGCTTGAGCGCGTGTACGAAGGCCAATAATTCCTTCTTCCATGCGTCGTCGATCGAGTGCACGACGGACACCTTTTTGCTAAAGTACTCGATCGGGTGCCAGTCCACGCCATCATGTTGCTCGAGGACAGCACCAATGCCATAGTCGGGCGCATCGGTAGTGATACGTGTCGGCAAAAGCGGGTCGTAGATGCGCAACACCTCCGCGGATAGCAATGCGGCTTTGAGAGCCAAAAAGGAAGTTCGCACATTGTCGTCGAACTCGAATGGCTGGTCCTCGCATTGAAGTTTGGATAAAGGAACCGCGATCTTGGAGTATTCCTTGATGAAGCGTTGGTAGTACCCGGCTAAGCCAAGGAAGGAACGGACATTTCTGACGTTCTTCGGCTCCGACCACTTTTGGATGGCTTGAATTTTGTCCGACAACGGACTAATGTCCTTCGGTGTGACAAAATGGCCCAAGTATTCCAGCTCTTGCCGGACAAATTCGCACTTGTCGCGGTTCGCTTTGTACTTGGCACGGCGGAGCATCTCCAACACTCGTTGAAGGTGCTCAAGATGATCCTCCAATGTCCGGCTATAGATGAGAATGTCGTCTAAGTAGACTAGGTAGAACCGGTCCAACATCGCACGAAACTCGTTGGTCATTGCTGCTTGAAAGGTCGTCGGGGCATTGGTGAGGCCAAAAGGCATAACGATCCACTCAAAATGCCCGTACCATGCCTTGAATGCGGATTTGTAGCAATCTTGCGGGCGTATCGAGATTTGATGGTAGCCCGACTTCAAGTCCAACTTCGAGAAGAATTTCGTGCCGCCCAAACGCTCGAGAAGGACAGCTCCTCCTGATGAAGACGTGCTTGATAGCGACAAATGTCGACGGCAAGTTGGGTGTGGATGCCAAGTGTTGGTACTCGGTTATCCAGTCCGTGCTTGGGAGATCGTTCTGATAGAACCGTTGCAGTTTCTCGGGTGCCTGAAGCTCGGGCGGCTCCACTTGGAACCGCTTATGCCATGCTGCCTTGAGATCAGCCCAGCTGATCTTCGTATGCAGCTCAGAGACTGCGATTTTGTGCGTCGACAACATGTTGTCCAGCCACGCCTGGCACGCGTCCCCTGAGCGGGAGTATAAGTATGTGTGCCGGTTCGGGTTGATGACGATCATGACGTGGTGTATGTCCAACTTCAACTCGAACTGGCGCCTCCATGGGATCGGGTCTGTCTTCGTTGCATCATAGAAGATTGGCAGGCCGTCAAACTTTGGGATGCTCTTGCGAGTAGTCGCGGTCGGACTGGCTGCGGCAATACAAATCTGCTCGCCAATCCGCTGATTTGTCGCTAGAGCGCCATCATTGAGAGTCTCGACGTCAATTTCCAAGACGTTGACGCGGTCCGTCAAGTTGGAGGGTCCGGCGGGGGGGGCTGTTGTAGGCTGTTGTTCCAGTCGGCGTACCCCGTCAAGCAGTTCGTCGATAAGTCGAGCCTGCTTGCGGACCAAGGTGTCCACGCAAAGGATGTCCTCTTGCTGTGCTGCACAGGTGGCGACCAAGTCGCTCACGTGTTCGATTGTGGTTGCAAGGCCACGCACAATAGCCACTGCCCATTCGTCGGCGATCACCTCGATGTCCCCTTCGCATTGGAGGATTTTGTCTCGGCGTAGTTGACGACGTTCGTCTGTGGCCTTCCTTGCTGCCTCAGCGTCCTCCTGTCGTTGTTGTTCAGCGAGGCGACGTTATTCCTCTGCTTTCTCATCTTCCTTCTTACGTGCGGATGTTGCCGCAGCTGCCCGTTGCTTGAACTCTGTTACCATGTCCAGCATGCGGATCTCATAGGCCTCGGTAGTCTCGCCTGGTTGCTGCTCCATGGCGCTTGTCTTTGAGTTGGTGAGCACCATGCACTGACGTGACCTGCTGCTGCGGTGACTGGTTGCTCACGTGGCACTGCTGCCGTGTCCTGCTGACATGGCCTGCTGACGTGGCAACTCACCAATGCCGCCGCAGGGGGTACCCGGAGGCAGATAGAGAAGACCAGAGGGGGCAACAACATAGGTGGGGAGGGGTTAGATAAATCGCCCAGATAAGAAGCCACTAATCAAAAAAAGAAGTTCGAACTTTGCAAAAAAAATCGAGAAAAAGAGAAAATACTCGTTTGCAAATTCAGTAGGCCTCCCAATTTCCCTTGAAGTGCGAAATTACCAATGAGAAAAAAAAATCAAACTTTCAGACCGCAAATGATTTTTCGATAAAAGAATTCTGAAAATAAAGTACAAAAAAAAATTCGAAATTACTCAGATGAGAGTACGAGCAGTTTGGAGAATGATAACTGCAAGAGGGATTTCACGTACCGTTAAAAAAAAAAACGAATTTCGAAAAAAAATATTTCGAATTTCCAAATAACGGGAAATTGCAAAATGAAATCAAAATTTTTGAGAAGAAGATATTCCAAATTTCCAACAACGAAATTTCGAATTTTCAGAAGAAAAACGAAAACAGAAATTTCAGGTGTTGCGCTATTGCGATTTTCCATAACAGAAATAGCGGAAAAACAAAACCCAAGAAAAGAAAAAAAAATTCGATTTTCGACAGTGAGGTCACAATCGTGATTTTGGGGGCTAATTAGTGTGCTCTAATCAATCAGTCAAAACTAATCAGCTACCTAGTCCCCGCACATGTGTCAGATCAGGTTGTCCTGACTCACGTGCGGTGTTCCAATACCAACTGCTACATGCCCAGTTGGGCGATAGACATAATAAAACGAGGATCCGCAATGTGATGAAAAGGACGGAATGGACAATGCAGTGCTAGTGAAATCTCAACAAGCAGTGTTCATCCTGATACATACAAAATGGTGTTTTTATAGCGCAGTGGAAGATTTAGATACAAGTCCTGACCTGACCGGGACTGACCTCTTTCACGTAGTACAAGATAGCGAAGCAGAATGCTAGAATACTAAYGACGAGCCCAATCAATGTCGCAATGCAGACTAAACATACATCATTCTCACCACAAGGTGTGAAGGGGCCTGATGCTATACACAGGAAGAAGGCGCCAGGTTCAGACATGCACAGACGAAGAGGAGGGGGGAGATGGGAAAGTCGTCAACACCAAGTCTCGTTACGAGTCCCAAATAATCCGTCGTCAAAATGTCTGAAGCCCATGTCGAGTCTGGATCCAAATGTCACCAAGCTCTCTCTCTCTCTCTCTCTCTCTCTCTCGTAGGCTGCTTATGCAGTGAAGTCAGGTAGCGAGAGGGTGAGAGGGAGATGGTGGACTGAGAATAGGAAGAAGAAGAACTCTCTCTCTCTCTCTCTCTTTCACGTGCCAGGTACTAACCTGTGAAGATGGCGTTGTGCTGCAGGTACCTCGAAGACGAAGCTGGAGCAACGACGCTGCAGGTTTGTCTCCCTGGCGTCCTCCCAATCTCTCTCTCTCTCTCTAGTACTTCTCTAGCTCCTATGGCGCCCAGCGCTGAAGACTACTGCTAATGCTACTAGCGCCCAATGCTGAAGACTATTGCTAGCGCTACAACTACTACTGCAGTGCTCCTCCAGAGTGCTGCTGCCGAATCCTGAAGACTACCTCCTGCCTCTTGAACTGCACGTGAAGTGCCTGGGAAGTACCTAGGAACTACCTGCAGCCTGCAGGACGGGCCAGTCTTATATAGTGCTGGCCTGTCCAGGAGGCTGCTCTTGCCAATGCCAAAACGTGCCAGACCCTGGGGTTGAAGCTCAAACGAAGGTTGTCTTGAAAATAGGCCAAAAATGGCCTGAGCTAAAACCCTGGTCTGGTGCCTGAGTTTCATGGCATGTCGATCTTATGAGGGCCTGAAAATTGCCTTAAGTTTCAGGCTGAAAAGGCTCAGGGCCGGAAAGGCCCTGATTTAGGCTGAAACGACACAGGGCCTGTAGGCCCTTGTTTTCAGGCTTTTGGCCTGAACACGACACGGACCTGAAAACGGCCCGTGCAGCCTGTTGCAGGCGCAGCATGTAACAGGTGGACCGGCCAAATTATTTATATACCCTCCTCCCGGATGACTGAAATTATGCTCATACCCAGGAGCCGTTGGGCCTCAATCGTCCACGTGCTGTGCACAAGCATAATTTTGTCAACCCGTTCCTGGGCATAGGCATACTTTTGTGGGTGGATACACCCTGTGCACATTCCCAAGTTTCGCCCCTGGGGGTGGATACCGCCACGGTTTTGCCGGTTCCGTTCCTAGGCATGAGCATACTTTTGTGGTCTGCAACCGAGGGCCTGCAGGAGTGGGTATGCTTGCAATTTCGCACAGGGGAAAAGTTGGGTACTATGCAAAGTGGAACGGTTTCCAGGTATAGATGCAAGTTACGCGCTGGGACTGGGTATTGCAGGTATTCCCATCTTTTAAGTGGGGTACAGATGCAATTCCCCCGCCCCCCCCCCCTCTCCCTGAAAAAAAGAGTTAGTCGGTTTTGCGATTATCATTGGAGCTGCAGAAATTAGGGTGCATGGGATGAGGCTAAGATTCACCAGGGAGGCGATTCACGTATCGATTGCAGGCCAAAATGAAGGAAGAACGCTCACCACAGAAGACCATGCATTCAGTATAGCACCCATGGTCGCAAAATGGACAAATAGTGTCCGGATGCAGAGGGTGCCTGCAGTCAGGAACGGAGGGACAGTCCTCTACACACATGGATGCAGAAACCATCTGATTGTAGTGATTGTGACAGAGACGATGGCGGCTACAGCCGAGTGTAGCAGTGTCTGTAGCTATGCAAAGGAGAAGGTCGCAGAGTGTTGGTATATTGTCCTGCTGGATCACAGGGCCAGAGGAATGATGATCTTTAACATAAAAGAGATTGCAGACAGTTTGGTGAGGGAAGAAAACAGCATCATTATGTAAGAAATTAGTAACATCAGTCATGGGATGGACCATGATGCCGTTGGCCCACACCTCCCAGTGGTCAGAGGCATGTGTGATGGCCATTTAATGGCCAGGTCTGTGCACAACCACTCACCTGCTCGAGCATTGAGTACTTCAAGTTGGCGGTCCCTCATTGCTACTTGTAGGACAGCAATGGTAGAGCCTCTTTCCCTGGTATAATTACAATCCTCTGGCGGTACGTGGGGGTGATCAGCATCAAGCTGAAGGGCGATAGCAAGGAAGTCTAATGGTGTATAAAACGGGCGTGGAGAATGTGAAGACAGATATTAGTTTCAGTCAGACCACAGAGATTGGTGAGGGTCTCAGGCTCATGTGCCGGATGCTGGCCAACGATTTGCAGATCACCCAGCTGGTGTTGCAAGCCCAAAATGTCTTGGGTTGTTTGCTGGTCAGTCATTTGCAGATCACCCATGTGGTCTGCGTGCGGAGGGCACAAATTTGTGGTTTGTCCAAATGATGCTGGTCAGCCATTTGCAGATCCCCCATGTGGTCTATGCCTTGTGGGGTTAACTGCAATCCGGGCAGATCATGTTCCAATCCCTCAACGTTTGGGGTCGCATCCTGAGCAGGGACTGTCCCGGGAATTGGGAGTGTACTCTGGGCAGGGACCACATCCTGTTGTACAGGTGGAACATCTAACGCTGAAGGGCATAAGACATAGTGTCGTGGCTGCCTGCAGGCAGCTGGACTGTCTGCTGGAGGCATCATCGATGACATCCACGGCATCGTCACTTGTCAGGGGATCAGCAGCATGTTTCTTTGTCTGGCTCAATTCTCTCTGTGCCTGCTCAG